AAGGATTCAGCCCCAAAATCCCAAAGGAATCAGCCCCAAATCCCAGAGGATTCAGCCCCAAAATCCACTGGGATCCATCTGGGATCCATCTGGGGTCTGACCCATGATCTCCAGCTGGACGTGCAGGAAGTTCTCGGCCTCGTCGCGCAGGGAGCTCCGGGACGGGAGCGGCACCGGCAGGAACCCGAACTGCTCCCGGTTGGAGACGAACATCTGCACCCCTGGAGCGGCGGGAACGGCGGGAATGGTGGGAATGGTGGGAACGGCGGGAATGGCGGGAATGGTGGGAACGGCGGGAATGGTGGGAACGGCGGGAACGGCGGGAATGGCGGGAATGGTGGGAATGGCGGGAATGTTGGGAACGGCGGGAATGGTGGGAATAGCGGGAATGGTGGGAATGGTGGGAATGGCGGGAATGGTGGGAATGGCGGGAATGGTGGGAATGGTGGGAACGGCAGGAATGGCGGGAACGGCGGGAATGGTGGGAATGGTGGGATCGGGAACAGTGGGAATGGACTGGGATCAAGATGGGAGCGTCGTTCCTATGCTGGGATCACCCAAAGCTGATCCTAAATCCCAGCCCTACCCAACCATCCCAATCCCAACCATCCCAAACCCATCCCAAACAATCCCAAACCCATCCCAAACCATCCCAAACCCATCCCAAACCCATCCCAAACATCCCAAACCCATCCCAAACCCATCCCAAACCCATCCCAAACCATCCCAAACCCATCCCAAACATCCCAAACCCATCCCAAACCATCCCAAACATCCCAAACCCATCCCAAACAATCCCAAACCCATCCCAAACCCATCCCAAACCAATCCCAAACCATCCCAAACCATCCCAAACCCATCCCAAACCCATCCCAAACCCATCCCAAACCCATCCCAGTCCCAAGGATCCCAATGATCCCAATCCCAAGGATCCCAACAATCCCAACAATCCCATCCCAACGAGCCCATCCCAACCCCAACGATCCCAACAATCCCATCCCAATCATCCAAAGGATCCCAATCCAAATGATTCCAGCGATCCCATAACAATCCCAGTGATCCCATCCCGATCCCAGTGATCCCATCCCGATCCCAGTGATCCCATCCCAATCCCAGTGACCCCATAATGATCCCAGTGATCCCATCCCGATCCCAGTGACCCCATAACGATCCCAGTGATCCCATAACGATCCCAGTGACCCCATACCGATCCCAGTGATCCCATCCCAATCCCAGTGATCCCATCCCAATCCCAGTGACCCCATAACGATCCCAGTGATCCCATCCCAATCCCAGCGATCCCATCCCAATCCCAGCGATCCCATCCCGATCCCAGTGACCCCGTTCCGTACCCGCGTGCCGGCAGGCGGCGGCGAACACCAGGATGTCGTCCAGGGCCCCGCGGTATCCCGGCGGGGGCGGGTGGAAGGCCAAGGCCCCGGAGCGCTCCCGGCGCAGCTCCAGCAGGAACGCGGAGTGAACCATCGGCACCGCGAAACAACCGCGGCGCTCCCGGCGCCGGATCGGCAGGTACGCCGCTGTGCGGCGGTAATAACCCTGGGAACGGGAAAATGGGGATGGGAATGGGGGAATGGGAATGGGGATGGGGGAAATGGGAATGGGAATGGGAATGGGGATGGGGATGGGGATGGGGATGGGGATGGGGATGGG